GCAAGAGCCTGAGCTATGTTGATAGCTATCTTGTGGATGACTGACCACTGTACATTTTTACCGGACTTGTCATGAATGAAGGTTTCAAGGTTTCCACCAGAAAGATAATTGTAGATCAAAAACATTTCACTTTCCCCTACATAATACCCTATAAGAGTCACAAGGTTCTCATGTCGAATTCTTCCTAAGGTTCTTATCTCTGCGTCAAATTGTTTAACACCCTGAAATCGACCAACTGAAAGCCTCTTCACAGCGACATGGTAACCGGGAACCAACTCTGCTTTGTAAGTGGACCCAAATCCACCAGTGCCAATTAGATTTCTGATACTAAAGTTACCAGTAGCTCTAACCACATTATCATAATTCAGTTCAGTTGGAGCATCTGCAAAGGTCACAGCTACTTTTCCTCTTAGGCTATTGAATCTATTCCCCTTTCTCCTCCAGTAAATACTGAAAAAAAATACAACCAAGAATACGCAAAGGACAACAGCAGCAGAAGTTATTGCTGCGGTTAAGAAAGGATTCAATTTCCCCTGATGTTTCTCATTGTTTACTTGAAGAGGAACTGGAAGCTTAGACGGTGCAGCAAGTTGCTGATCCGAGCATGAAGACAAATATCTATTGCCTCCAAAAGAAGTGCAATTCATCTGGTGCTGTAGATGGGGTATATGACCAGATAAGTTGTTGAAAGAAACATCCAGAGATGTAAGACTGGAAAGAAATGAGAAAGATGAGGGTATTTCCCCAGAAAGGCTGTTGTGGTCTAGTAGCAGAACTTCAAGATTTTTGGCATTTGTCAAACTTGAAGGGATAGATCCTATCAGAGCATTATGAGAAATATCAAGAACCCTGAGAGAAATCAACTGACCAAGCTCAGATGGAATTTCTCCAGTTAAATTGTTCCCTCCCAGGAGAATCTGCTCCAACATCTTCAACTTCCCCAACTGATTGGGCAGGGATCCAGACAGTCTGTTTCCTCCCAAGTCAAGTCTCTGAAGCATAAACAAGTTCGCAATTCTAGAATCAATGGAACCCGAGATCTGATTGCCTGCGGCTTCAAACTCTTTTAGCTGTAGACAGAGAAGAAGCCAAGCCTCCTGCATATCTCCAGTTATCTGGTTAGCACTCAAGTTAACTGAGATGCTCTGCGGCCTACTACAATCAGAAACAAGCTCCCCTTGTAAAGATCCATTAAGCATGTTGTTATTTAGCAACAACCTATAAGACACTTTGCTGCTATTTGCAAAGAAATGATCTCCAATTGAAAATGAAGGTAAAGGGCCAGTGAAGTTATTCCAACTAAGATCATGTATAACAGCAAGAACCTTGTCCAGCATCAGTCCTATCTGAGAATCCCAAACAGAAAGTTTAGCATATACAATCTGCATGTCTTGAGCATCAAGGAAACTAGGATCTTGTCCATAAGAGACCATTCTAGTAGTAATATCACAACTGCCCTTTCCAAATTCTGGAATCACACCAGAAATGTTATTGCGACTAACATTGAAGTACACCATACAAGGAACTTGAATCCCCCTGGGAAGGTAGCCCACCAAAAAATTGGAACTCAAATCCAAGAAAGTGAGATTCTTACAGATACCCATGTTTAGTGGTACCATGCCATCGAAATAATTCTGCCCCAGATTGAGCACTCTGAGGGAGCAAAACTGGCTCCAATTAGCAGGCAACCTCCCTCTAAGATTTGCTCTTGGTGCCCATAAAACCTGTAAACTTGGAAGCAACAGCAGCTCTGAAGGAATACCCCCTTCAAATGCATTAAATTCTTCTTGATGATTGGACCCAAAATTGACCAAATTGGTTAGCACAAGAACTGATAGTTTTTTGCAATTGGCTAACTCCTTGGGGATGACGCCGATTAGATAGTTGTTAGAAACATCTAGAACTCGAAGCTCAGTGATTTGGCCAATTCCAGCCGGAATTTCGCCTTCTAAACTGTTCCCATCAACCATCAAAGTCCTCAGGTTGTTGCATTTTCCAATTAGGGTCGGAATGTTTTCATCCAGAGAGTTGTTAGAGAGCTTCAAGTGAGTCAGAAACTGGCAGCCGGTAGAGTTATGGAGACTAATCCTCCCAGAAAGCAGATTATTGGACAAATCTATAACTCTCAACTTACCGTTACCAATAAGGTTTGGTGGTATGTGACCGGAAAAGGAATTGTAAGACAAGTTAAGGAAGCGGAGGGACGGAAGGGAACTTATCTGGGAAGGAATGTTGCCGGAGAAGTTGTTGCCTTGGAGATGAAGCACCTGGAGAAAGTTAAGGCCCCGAATATCGGAAGGGATCTGGCCGGACAATCCGCAGTGGGGTAGTGACAAAATGGTAACTTTATCGGAAAAGTTAGTGCAGGTGACACCGTACCAGTTGCAGTGGTTGAGGGAGAGGTTCCAGGAGGAGAGGAGGTGTGAAGGGTCGCGGGAGATGGAGTTCTTGAGGCGGAGAAGAAAGACGGAGTCAGGGGGCGGGGCGGTGGAGGCGGAGAGCGGGAATGAGAAAGAAAAAAGGAAAAAGAAGAGAAGCGCCATAAGGGGGATGCAAGTATTGGGTATTGGGGGTGGGGAGAGGGGTTTCATTCCATATCCAAATCCAAAACCAAGTCCAAATCCATTTCCGTTTGAAATGGGTTAGGTTAGGTTAGGTTAGGTAGTGCCGGAGACAAGGGGGAGGAGTGTCAGTGTCAGTGTCTGAGGTTTGTTAAGAATGTTAATACTAATTGGTTTGCTTATTATTAGTAGTTATAAATAAAAGGATGATTATATTTACTTTCTATGTTATTAGTATGAATATGAAGGAGACGAAAACGAAGAAGAAGAAAGAAGAAGAAGACGAAGAAGACGACAAAGAAAGAGCCAAACGGAGGCTTGTCACATGTAATAATCACATGCAGGTTGCAGGCGTGAAATGACTCAAATGCCCCTAATCTGTCGACCATTGGTGGCAGTAGAATCGGGTCGGGTCATCGGTTTTCAAAATTGCAAGTCCATAATTACCGAATTATTACTACTAGTAATAGTAGTAATTGGAGTAATTATTTACCCACCCAACCAAAAAAAAGAAGAGGAAGGGGTAATTGGAGGAATTCCAGGCCTCCAACTACAATGGTATCAACTGTTTGAATTAATTTTTTTAAAAATAATTAATATTTGATATTTGATGTTCAATAATTATTTATATTTATAATTAAAAATTTTAATTTTTTTTTTGAACATATTTGTAAGGGGCGGGTTTCGAACCTAGCCCGGGGCGGGTTTCGAACCTAGCCCTGGGAGGGAGGAATGCACCGAGGTGGCTATTGCCACTAGGCCGCAAGGGGCCAGGTTCATTAAAAATTTTAATTTATTTAATTAAAACTAACAATAATTAATAATTATTTTTAAAAAATTAAAACAAAGGCTCTTTTACACTGTTGCATTTAATTCTCCATATATGGTTGATATTAATTAACCCTATTACTTGTGAGTTTATTTTTGATACACTAGCATAGCATAGTATAGCATAGCATCGCAAAGCAATAAGGCATCATTTGTCTGCGCCCCTACATACAGCACTAGTGTTAGCATCTGTCTACGGACGCGGTCTGGTCCTGCTCCTCCTCACCGTATTGTCACCTTCTTTAGACGGATAAATAAAAGTGTTGAATCATGTGAATGAATAAATTCAGAATATATTTATTCCCTGTTGTCATATTTGCATTAAATTAACATGTCACCAGCTACCTAACGCAACATTAAATAAAAGGAAACAAAGAGAAAGCTTGGCTTCTCTAGTGCCTTATTCAAACACTTATTCATGTCCGCTCGTTTTTTTGTTTCACCCTTTCTCTCTCCGATTTAGGCCTTTAAGGCCTCATGTAGGGCAGTGAAACAGAATGGAATTTTACCCTCCATGGATTAGGGGCTAACTAGATTGAGTGGGTGGTTTTTAGAGCTGATAAGGCAAGATAAATCACTATTAAAATCTTTATCTTCAGCAACATATTTTTATATATGTTACTAAAAGTGCTTTCAATGTTGTTAAAATTTCAATAAAATTTCAATAATACTGTCTTTGTTGCTGATAGTCACTATCAGTAACAAGAAGTATATTGTTGAAAGTTGAATTTGCTTTTTGAAAAATTGACTACTTCATATATATGTATCAGCAATATAAGTCTTATTAATGAGAATCTATATTACTAACAAGTAATTTCATGTTGCTGATGGTTAATTGTTAAAAAGAAGAATTTTAGTAGTGAATTAAGCAGCAGTTTTTGAAGCAGCAATGCTGAGATTCTTGCAATTGGCACATTAGAGTGAAGAGATGAAAAGCGGAGATGGAAGTGTGTGAAGTGATAAAATTTAGAATATAAAAGATGTAGAGTGATGAAACTGCTTTTAGCATTTCAATTTATATGGGTAATGTTTCTTGGGTTAGTGGCATATGTTGTAGAAACAAATGACAGTTAGAAAGGAAGGAGGAAGGAGATAGAACATCACAGTTGACAGGAATAGAATGGATGCTGATAGATGAGTTTTAAAAATTTTAAGAGTAATTTTGTATCATTTAATAATTTATTTTTGAATAAGAAGAATTTTGGATAAAAAAATTAGATATAAAATTTAAGATATTATTGTTCTAACATTTATTAAAAATAACTTATAAGTCACGTTGTGTTGCACCTATCATTTAATGAAATTTAATTGCTTATGAGGGAAGGTCTGTCCATTAAAATTAGAGCAAATTAAATGAAGGAAAATGCCGTGGAGACCGACCTCTAGCAAGCTAGCACGCTAAGGGAGGCGCTGGCTCCCGTGGCCTTATTCTTATTCTCTTATTTTTTAAAAAAGTTAAAATCAATTTAAATTTATGTTACTAGAGTTTAAAATTTTTAGAGTTTAAGATTAAAAATGTTAGAATTTAAATTTTTTAAGGTTTAGTATTTAAATTATTTTAGAATTTTTTATTTAAGGTGTGAGGATGCAAACTTTTTAGGTTTAATATATTTGAGTTTAAATTTTTAAAGTTTAGGATTTAATATTTAAAATATTTAAGTGTTTAATAATTTAAATAATTTAAAATAAAAAATTAAACCACTTAAAAATAAAACCAAAAAAATATTAAATTTTAAAAGAAAAAATAAAAATGTGAAAAAGACCAATGGAACTTGGAGACTAGTGGATCCCTATGGAATTATTCTTAAAATGAAAGATTCACACTTAATACCTTAATTAATTCTCATTGTCTTGTAGGATATAATATAAAAAATCCAATGAAAATATAAAGTAAATGCATTTCTCAATACCATATGGGACTATATATATATATATATCATTGGCATATTGCAACCAAATTTCCTTGGTAACAATGGTAAGGAATTAATATTACAAATATATTCAAATCATCATTTCACAGTTGCACGCTTCCTTAATTAATTAATTATATATATACCGTATAATATACTAGTAGTATTAGTAGCAATGGATCTGTCACATTTTCATGATTCACGCACGCACGTTTTTCAACTTTGAAATTTCAATTAGCTGTCTCCACCGCTACGCTGTGCAACACCACAGTTTCGACCGTCAGACCTGGTCCGAACCCAAATAGAACTCCCCATTCCAGCCCTTCACCCGTCGTGCCTTTCCCTTCCTCCAACGACTTCTTCCTCATCTCATCCAGAATAAACAACACACATGCACTGGACATGTTCCCGTACTCACTCAGCACCTGCCGTGTTGCTCCAAGCTTGTCTCCCTTCAGTCCCAGTTTTGCTTCCACCTGGTCCAATATTGCGGGTCCCCCAGGGTGAGCAATCCAGAATATGGAGTTCCAATCGCTGATTCCTATGGGAGAAAACGCTTCCACCAGGCTCTTCTCAATGTTTTTCGAGATCAATCCCGGTACGTCCTTCAACAAGTGGAATGTGAGTCCAACTTCTCTCAAGTGTCCGTCGATGGCACCGTCTGAGTCGGGCAGGATCGTCTGACCTGCAGAAACTAGTTGGTACAGTGGACGTTCGATGCTGGTGTCAGGATCTGCACCCACGATGATGGCTGCAGCACCATCTGCGAAAAGTGCTTGGCCAACCAGTGAGTCCAAGTGGGTTTCGGAGGGCCCACGAAAAGTAACGGCAGTGATCTCGGAACAGACTACAAGAACGCGTGCGCCCTTGTTGTTCTCCGCCAAATCCTTGGCGAGACGAAGCACAGTGCCGCCTGCAAAACATCCCTGTTGATACAGCATGAAGCGCTTGACGGATGGCCTGAGGCCGAGAAGCTTGGTGAGTTGGTAGTCAGCGCCTGGCATGTCCACGCCAGAGGTAGTGCAGAAGATGAGGTGGGTGATGTTGGATTTGGGTTGGCCCCATTCTTTGATGGCCTTGGTGGCGGCCTCTTTGCCCAGCTTGGGCACTTCCACAACTACAATGTCTTGGCGAGCGTCGAAAGATGCGGCCCAGTAAGCACACAAGTTTGGGTTTTCCTTGAGGATTTCCTCGCTCAGGTACATGTAACGTTTCTTGATCATGGATTTATCACCTGTTTTTAATTAGGATTATATATAGGAAGTTACATTAGTATCATATATATGGTCCAAAAAACAAAAAAA